AAATAAAGGTTATGGTGCCCCGAAATGTCCAGGGACGTTGTACGGTTTCTGGATGTTGTGAACGCTAGTTGCTGCGATTCTGGACGTTTTGATCAGTGTACGTTATGAGCTTTGGACGTTTCAATATGCATCCGCCGTCTAGCGTAATTGTCGAAACTTATTCAAATGCAAAATCAAAACAATCGTGTATGGCTATGGCCACCATGACCTAAAGGTCAAACAACATCACTGATCTCGCATGAGCACCAGTGATCTTTTGCTTAGAACGTGTACCCAGGTTCACCGCGGTTCCAGTAGTAATTTTGCAGACACTTTTGGTCACAAGCAATTAGGATGCGTATGAGATAAAAATGCCAGTAGTCATAACGGATGTCGGATGATGGGCGACAAGTACCTAATTCTCACATCATGTTTTATGAACATGTGAGGATTCTATTTTTGCGTCCAAGATACAGCGCACGAGGGACAATGCGCATTAACTGAACACTGTGCCATCTAAAAAGCTTAAATGGTACCCTTCTTTGCGCGCTGAAAGCAAAACAATGGATACAAAGTTACAAACTATGGTCAATAACATGGAAAAATGGGGTTTCTACTGCATAAATGCAATTTCATATAGCTGTACGATGTACGATTACGGCTAAAAATAGCTTTCGTTTTTTCCGGTATAAGCAAAAAAGAAGATTTAGAAACATCTGGCATTAAAACAGCATGATTCAAAAACAACGCAGCTATTTATTCTCCTGGATGAAAGACTAGGTACCGTAGGTAGTCCATAGTCATGCGCATAGATCATAATGTCAACGCAGCCGGGAATCTAACAAGGAAATAGTGGTAACAGTTGAGGGTGTTTCTTCAGTTGGTTTGTTCGGTAATTGATACACGCCTGAAGCATCATATATGAAACGAGCTGGCCAGTATAGATAATCCGTGGGTATACTAATGTCTCATGCCTTTAAGCTATTGAAAGCAAAAACAACTTTGTCCCCTGCAACGTAATAGTACTTTTGAATTGTTGCCCAAAGTAATTAAGATGTGAGAAATAGCATTTTGAGCCTTGTGTGTCGTAATTATCATGCAAAACTGCCTTTTTGAACAGGTAACACGCTGTGTTAAGCATCTTAACACCCGCTGGTTGACGGCAATTTTTGCACATTTTCTCAAATGCAAATAAAGAAATTTCGCAAATTTAGGATGCTCATGTGAACCATCTGCTGTTAGCATTTTAAAGTCTTTAATGTGGAAGCGGATTGGCACGGCTTCATTTGATAATGATTTCTGGTAACGCAGACCGGATCGAATTGGATAGAGCAACCTGGAAAAAGCGGATTGGCGGGCGGATGGGAGTTGGACTAGCAGGGCTGCACTGGACCCGATCCTGAAAACTGAATCCATAAAGTGCTTTATGGTCCAAGTTTTGCATCGCCTTAACTGGAGCGTCTCGTATTACAGCGTCTTCAATGGATGGATAATCTGGGTCACTGGTGGCTGCCCAGACCGCGTCCAGCGGTTGGTCTTGCAGAGGCATGATCCGGGCGTTATTATTTCTAGGACTAAGATCACATGTAAGAGGTCCGATATCTTGGTGGCCTTGCTCCTAGGCCCCGAGCCGCAAATGGGGGCACGAGACAAGGCGTGTGGGATGTAGTGGGCCGTTCCTTTCGGCCAAGTGGCTGTAAAGGTGTGCCGCGTGAGCTTCTCACACAGGCGCTGCAGTCGTAGGTTCTCAATATCCGAGAGCTGCTTTGAGTTCAGAAATGGCACCAGTGGGCGACGGTCTACAACAGGGGCGAAGGATTGAATGCCGCGCAGACACATGTGACATTCCCAGCCCGCTCAAAGGCACGCCATGTACTCCAACTCGATCACCGTGAGGCGATGATCGAGCTCCACGTCATCAAGACACTCTGTCGGTCAAGGCATGGGAGCAACACTGTACCACCTTCTAGGGATACCCGTGCCAATGCAGCAATACAAACCGCAGCCCGCGGGTTCGGGCGTCTGGAGTTGTAGGCATGCGTGGTTCAAAAGAACGTCAGTGTACGTCGCGCCGTTACTGGCTCCCTGATATCCTAAAGGCTTTGCCATGCTGCGCCGTCCAGTCCTAGACCGTGCTCTGCTTCATCAGTTCTAGGAAGTACTGAACAGCCGGGGTGATGTCCGGTGAGAATCCAACGAGCTGATCCGCCATACCCGCACACGATCCTACGCCAATCACGAAGTCTTGCCCCAGGAACTGAGAAACCGCCTGTAAGTTTTTAAGTTGCTATCGTCTACTGTGTAGCCACACTCCGTAATGTGGTAGCCACGGGAGTCTACCGTTTGCCGAATGAACCTCAACTTCGTCGCATTGGTTGTGATGCCACGGAATACAAACCGTGTACCACTGGGATTCTCTTGAGCCTCATCGGGCCCCAAGCCGTAATGAGGTTATCAAGCCTCGGCAGTGTTCCGCGATGGGGACCTGCGAGTGGCACATTATGATGTCCAGCGAGGTCAGCTACCGCGTCCTCTTTCCAGGCCACCTTATCGTGCGAGTCCTGCCGACAGGAACCTCAGCACAATAATAACGCTAGACGCCGCGCTCGCCACTTCAGCTGCTCAATGCGTTTCCCACGCTGCTGGGCAGTCGTTGCGAAGGGTATAATTTTCTTTTTTTGGCCATCATCTCAGTTTCGTACTGACAGTTCAACAGGAAATTTTTGCTTCTGGCACTTATTTTCTTAGGATCAAAAGACCTTCGTCGTGCCGTGATGCTCCACGACACGGCCGCCCTGTCAGGGACAGGTCCAGTCCTTCTACATGAGCGGGGGTCCTACCAGTGTCGGCAATTCACCTATCCCAGGGAACCCCAAACTTACACTAAAAAATAAGGAAACTCACCAGACTTGACCCACTTGAATGAAAGTTGCATTTCTCTCAATATTGTGTAATTCGCAGCATCGTTTATCTCAATTTTGGTCGTCTATGTGCAATTTTGAATGGCATGACGCGTCAGGCCTACCCTGTACACTTGAGCACATGCGCTCGGGTGGAGGGTCATCTTGACCCTCTCCCCAGGGAAGTGTTCTCAGAATGATTTACCAGCGGCGCGCGTGGCCGCGCTACAGCTAGCGTGACCGCAGGAAATTGAATAGCGGATCTTTTGATAACAAAAAAGCCTTACCTCATAAGATAGCTGAGGTAAGATAGCGGCAGGTCAAATCAGGCCGTGGCTGCCCGCAAAGGTCATTTCTAGGAAACCGTTCAACCTGATGCGACAATGGAGTATCAGACAAAGCTATGTGTGCTATGTATTTCTGAGCTGGTTCGTTAGGCAAGAAACCAACTGAATTTGGAATGTCAGCAAATTCCACTGACCTAGGGCCAGGAATCAAGGTCAGAGCAAGTCAAAACTGGCCTAATTTTTACTAGACAGGTTGGTTTGTGGGGTAGTTTTTGGTACTTAATACAAATTAATTTATGACCTAACAGCAACAGACACGACACATGGGCTTTTAAAAGGCTACGGTAGGTTACTGATCTAAAATGATCCAGGTGATCATTTCATTGTTGGGAACATACCGCTTAGCGTAATCCATTCCGCTTATTTGAATTCCACAATAGGACCAACCTCGTGGACACCTTGACCTTCTTAAAGTCAAAGGAGATCGGCGACCTTAGAAAACACCCTTAACCTTTCACTTAAAACAGGTATCCATGTAGCGGCGATTTCATAAAGGGGTCTGGGGGCACTTCAAGCACCCACCTAAAATTTGATCTTTTTTGACTTACTTGACCCCAATGTTATGACCTAGGAGTCCCAAATTTTCACATAAGTGAGTTCATACGTAAAGCAAACCACTCTGTCAGGGAGGCCGCATTGACTTCCCGAGATATCAAAAGCTAAGAAACCTAGCGACACTAAATGCACAAGGTAAGTTGGCCTCATGCAGCTCCTCACGCAGGCACCGTGACCACAGATACCCGTCCCAAGCAAAAGGTCATTGAGCTTAATTGAAGGTCAATATCTTTTACCCTAGGAAGTCAAGGTTACCAGAAAACTACGAGATAGCTCCCATTTCGCCACATAAATAAGCGTCAGGGATTACGCCAGGCGATATCCTCCCGAAACCAAAATGTTGACCTGGATCATATTAGGTCAGTGACATAAGCTGACCTTGCATAAATTCACGAAACATGTTTTTTTTGCTGTCTCTCGTATTAACAATCTGCGCCAGAAACTTTCACTCAAACCAAATTATAGAGCTACAAAGCAGGGTGGTTTTGACCTCGGCTTGACCTTCATACCCGAACCTAGGCGAATAGATTTGTTGTAATTATAAATCCAATTGCCCGTTTTGTCGTCCAAGAAACTGTCTCAGAAATGTATGGCTTCGTTTAACATCCCGTTTTCAAATCAGATTGAACTGACCCCTAGAAATGTCCTTTGTTGACAGCTATGTCTGGACTTTGACCTTGCCTAGGTCAGCGACTTTACAAATACAATCATTTGTATGCCAATAGGGCCACTATTCAATTACCTACACGTATGCAAGGTTTGGCACCGGTACGCCAAGGCAATGATAAGGCATTCTGGAAAGACCTTTCGGGGCTCACAATGACCTCTCCCCCCCCCCCCCCCCCACCCGAGCAAGTGGTAATAAAACGTTACTGGTCATCTGCGAACCCGGGCAAATAGCTTCCGTTCCTACGCCGTTCTCTAATATAATGTCTCAACATCTGGCAGTGGCAGTTGGTAACTACGAACTTTGACGTCTTACTTTGCCTTTTAACCATGGCAATGTGCTGCCCGTGCCGGGCTCCAAAGCATCAAGAGGGCTCAAGGGGATGGGACATTGTCCCATGCCCCCCCCCCTCCCCCCCCGCCTCTAAGCCCGAGCTAAGACGCGTCTAGGCCTTTTGAAGACATAGTGGTGGAATGTGAAGTACATACCGCGGACCATAGAAGCCCCCCCCCCCCCAAAAAAAAACGTTTTCCACGACTCTGTCCAACTCACTGGTATTCGATATTCGCAAAGGTATTTCTCACAGTCGCCTCCTTGATCTGTGCCAGGCTTATGTCCGTGGCTAGTACGGAACGGAAATGGGTTGCCAGACAGCGGGTGTTCTGTCCACTGCCGCAGCCGACATCAAGTGCACGATCCAACGGCAGCTTCTCCTGTGGATATTCCAGGCCAGTGAGGTGCATTTTCAACAGGTAACATTTGATGGTACGTAAACAGACCGCCGAAAGCAACACACTGTAGTGGAATTATGGGAAATTGGACATTTAGAAGTTCTTCGTTTTACTGATAAGTTGTCACACTTTATTCAGTTTGGTATCAAATAAAACGCCCTCATAGAAAGCTGCATCAGAAATGTACAAACGTTCTATTTTCGCAAAAGACACCTAAACATATCGTGGTAATCATATCTAATACTTTCATAACCAGGGCGTTTTTTCTCTACGCATTTACCGTTACACTTCTGAACAATGAAATGCATTGATTGAAATGACTACGGGATGCAAATGCATGACGTTTTTAAGGTTTTTGAATGACCGATTTGAAATGAACAACAGCTTTTGATACAATTCCGACCACACGTGCATCCTTACCTTAACAGCTTGCACAATAACATTGATGAGAGACGCTGGCGGCTCTGGCCGGAACTGTGCATACAGCTTTGCATGCGAAGGTCTATCAAACAGCCGATGCATTGCGGGATCGTGCAAGCTGAAAAAGAATCCAAGAAAACCGATGCTATGCACGCACATGGATAATACGAGCCACACCATGCCATATCACCCGTTCGTTGGATAATCGTGGACCCCACGGAGCCAAAAAGGGGAGGCACTGGGTCGATGGCGCCGACCGCCACCCCATCTTTGGTGCATCCATTATTATTCGGCGTCAAACGGCCCACTATACCGTTCCAGCCGGCCGCCGACCGCTATCTGCACATGACCACCCTCAGGCCAGGTGTCGTCAACCACCCTCAGGCCAGGTGTCGTCAACCACCCTCAGGCCAGGTGTCGTCATTGTCCGTGGGATCGCGTCATGAGGTAGGTCGGAATAGTTATGTGCAGGTACTAGGACCTTATTATTATGCTTTTTATAAATTATTAGATATTTTATTATCATTAAATTATTATTATATATTATTATTATTATTATTATTATGAAATTACTTGGTCATGTCGTTCACATCGCATTCAGTATCGTTCCCGTTCAATTCAAGTGCCTTAGGGAACATATTATTCAGACCAAGTGTAATAAAGTTATATTTCATGACGGTAGCGATCTTCAGAATATTAAAAGCCTCAAGATGTCTAAAGACATGGTCACCGAGAATCCCCAAGAGTCTTTATGAAGCGAAAAGCACCAGGATACACCTAACATTCCTGGGAAAAAGATCAGCCACCACGTGCCACCTGTTCCGTCTGAACATAAACTAGCATAAAATCCGTAATGTGATTTGATACTACCGTTAAAATGTCACCCTCAATGCCTCATCAGGCAGCTGTTGTATAAAATAGTTTTTTGATCGCAAGGTGATCCTACACTCTGATTGGTTTAGCTGACCATCGTACAACGTCTTACTTGCTTCTCATCCGCTAATTATCACATAATTTCCGGAATATGTGACTAGGGTTCGTTTCCCTTTCAGTTAGAATATAGGACTAACAGTTTGCTTCAATGTATGCTCATCCGCTCATTGGATCTGAAGACGCGAGGCTGCTGTTGGCCGTGCACCTGGACTTGTGGTGTGGTGTGAGTGTTGGTGGATGGAAGCTGCTGGCAAATAGAGGTTATACACTGACAAGGTTCATCTTTGCCTGGCTTCCGAGAAGGACTGTCTCGGGGCAGGTCGTCACTAGTAAAACTATCGTGCAAGCGGTTAGAAACCTGTTACAAATTGGTGCTAATTTACCCGGATTCGCAAACATCCACTTCGCAAGTCGTCCGTCTTCAAGTTTTCCTCGTGGATCATCGGAGTGGTGAGCCAACTCATCCTCCACGTAGCTTTAACGCTTCAGCCGGTATCAGAGTATGTGACAGCCCTATGAGTAAGACATATGAGCACAGCCAGTACCAGAGTATGTGACAGCCATATGAGTGAGACATATGAGTACAGTCAGTATCAGAGTATGTGTTATTTGTATTTTAACGCGTTGCGACATGTTGACAAACATGGCCGCACATACTGCACATACACCTTCTAAAGCACAGCTTATCGCAGAAACCATGCAGGAAATCGCTCACGAGATTAGTGTTCAAGGGCTTATACGTTAGGACTATACGTTAAGTACCCAATATGTTGGGACAATCAATGGAGTGAGTTCGTCAAAATTCCATGATTGGGCAAGTGACATGGACAGCATCTTTTGCACGACGGACGATGAACGCTCGCGACCTCTGGCAGCCCGCAATATGAGTGGGCCTAAGGAAAATGTACCTCAGACTGCTTGATGCAAACTTCCAGACAGGATGAACAGATTTCAGAAGGAGACTTCTTGAGGTGCACAGTAAGCTATATAATCCGTTTTGCGCTCGAATAAAGTTGCGTTAAGTCAAATAACATTCTGTAGAAGTGTTTGCAAAGTGTTTCCGAAAAGCCTGCAGGCGATAGCATCCGAAGCTTTAGGCGACGTGTTCAGTCCCGAAGTTCAACGTTTTCTGATGAAAGTGTTCCAAAAAAAGATATCGACGATAGGGTATCCCGTAGCATCATCCGTAAACAATTTACAGCTTCAGGAAGCCCCTAACTTAGCATGTGCGGAATCACAAGCGGCCCGCCCTTTTGAAATGTGTAGATGAACCATAGGTCTCACGGATGAACCAATGGTTATCGACATGGTCATGATGTACTTGATTCTGAAAAGTTGCAAATAACCGAGGTGCTGCTTAAAGAGCTAGGGTCATCGCTGAACAATCTCGAAACAGGTGTCAGCACTGAGACAACATTCGCATTCCCACCAATGAAAGAGTCAAAATTATCCGCAAAATCTAGAATGCATACCCGGCATTGCACTCAATCCTTTAACCACAAAAACAGCCACACAATTTGGCGTTATTACAGCAGTTTTAGCCGTCTCAACGACCGGGAAGTAACAGCTTCCAGCAATGCACGTTCACGCTATCAATAGACAACTGATGGTCGTCCCATATGCGCTATTTGCACAAGAATATGCCACAATGAACGTAACTGTTGTGCTCGAAAGCATTCCAAGACGCTAACTTCCAAAACACCCGTACGGGAAACCCAATCGTTTTGTTCTTGGAGCTGAGCAGGACGAGAGCCAAGGTAAAAATGGTTTCACTGGTAGCATTGAGTAAATTCTTATCAAACCAAACACCATGATGTGCTGGATATACCTTGGGAATCGCAAAATGTATTCTTTTGTAGATACAAGTGCCGACACCTCTCCTATTTTCCGCGAGGCTTTTGACATAGTCTTGCATAAGAGTGTATGTGAGTTTTCGACAAAAAATTTCGTTGCCCTCCATTGCGTTTCTGGACATAGACCTGAAACCTTTGGAACTGCCGCTCTTCCGATAGCGGTCTCAAAGCTTGATAAAACATTCACATTTCACATTACTGAAGGTCTTAAAAAACACTTAAGTTGAAAAAATCAGCCATTTGGGGGACATTTTAAATTTAGGCAAGAAACCACTCAACATTCATAACAACATCATGCCTCTTCGCCCTCAAGACCTGACATGCCAGTCAATCACGTCTCAAAGTCGGACCTGTCAGAAACCAACAACGCCCGCACAGCCCTATGTCGAAGTGCCAGCTTTTATTAGCCGCGTACAGCTCAAAGAACAAAACTGATGCATCTGATCGATGGGTACAGTCACGTACCTTAGTGAACAGCCAGGTATCTTTTATGATGACCGCCGTGGGGTGTCCAATAAAAATGTACCCGTCCCAATCATTCCGGCCAACATCACAACCAGAGACCAAAATGTGCCAGCCCGACATGCTATAGACCTTGCTGCAACGTTACAAGAATCCGAAATCCGCAGTGTATAAATAGATGGGGATTCCGTTTACTCATTCCTTTTGAAAGGAATAGTTCACATTTGAAGATATCGAAGCAAGCATCAGATATGATGAAACACGCTCACTTACAACTATTGGTATGCTTTTTGTGCGGAAAATACCGCTCTAGAGAGCACAATTCTCTGTTAAGTAAATGTGCTCCTCAGTGCGTCATGGTTTCATTACGTCATCGTACTTTGCACAACATTGATTGGGAGCCAACTGACGACCGTGATATCCGAAAATCGCGCTCACGAACGCCAAATAGGAACGCCTCGACAAGGGTATATTTGTTGGGTTTGATCACCGCTTCACTTATGAAACTACAGAATTTGAATGACGTTATCATGACGCCATGAATACCAAGGTGACTTAGACACACTCCCCCCGACGTACCTTTCCCAATGTTTGCAGGTGTGTAGCTCAGAGAGTGGAGGACATGGGTCTTAAAACGGGCAGGATTGTGATCAGCGCCAAAAGGTCTTCAAAATGGCTATTTCAGCTCGAAATGCCAAATAATTGTGGAACATTCTGTTTAAGTCACCATGTTTTGGAGCAATGACATTCAGTGCTGATATATATCTTGCCAGTCGGTAGGAACATCAGCAGCGTCGTTCGTGATTAAGTGTGAACACACCGCAAACTAATCATCGAGGCAGTCAAACGAAATCTAGAAAAAAAGAAATCCTGGTGCTCATGAGGCAAGCTTTACTGGTTGGAATGTGTCGCAAAATATGTTTTCCGGAATATAGACATTGTGAATTGTAGACATTATAAACTGTGGACATTTTTAAGTGTGAACACTATGAACCTTAGACGTTACGTACTGCGGACATTATGAAGTGTGGACGTTATGCACTGTGGACCTTAAGATAAGGCCCCATGCATATTCAAAATACTGAGGTATCTTGCGTATGCTGCTGTCTTTTTGGAGCAGCGCTCACCTGCAAACAACCCTCCCGTATAAAAGTACTCGTAGGTAATGACTGACCGCGATCCTGATCAAGTACGTTGCGGAAAGAAAACTCGCTCATTGGCTGTTGCGCGCGATCGCCGCTTGGATCAGTCCACTTCACGTGCAGTGGGGGAGATATGCGATGAGTTATTAGGTTGTTTTATTTGGCGGTTCTCGCTGCAGCTGGATCAGAACGGGCACGAAGT